ACAAACCAGAGGCCTTTGAAAATAGTGAAATTTCATTTAGTGCGAGAGGAACCTGTGACATGTTCTTTAAAAACAGTGTAGTATCATCTGCTGATTGACTTATGATCAATGGGGCTCCCATCAAATTCAGTGGTTGAATGTTTGGATTGTGTTTCATGAAAATAGCTAAAAGTTCCGTTACAATAATAAAAGTAACGGAGAAGCTGGACACCCCTGACTCCTCGACTGACGTTAAATCAGACGTTCCAAAAGGTAAAGAAACAGAACTATTGATGTCAGAGGATAATAAAGAAATTAAATCTATGAATTTTTTACCAAAACCAAAATACTGTGAAGCTTTTAAAATGAAAGGATGTTCGACCGTATCAAATGCTTTATAAAAGTCTAAAAACAGAATCACACCATCATCTTCAATTAAGTGATTATAATGCAGTAGGTCTAAAACCAATCTAATATTATTGTGGATAGAACGATTTTTAAGGAACCCGGATTGTGTTTCACTAATAATCTGATCTAAACCGTCCTTTAATCTGTTTGCAATAACATGAGCAAGAATGTTACAATCTGTATTCAATAGAGTAATTGGTCGCAGATTATCGATTAATCTTTTATCTTTACCAGGTTTGGGAATAAAGGAGATAAGACCCTGTTTCATTGTCGTTGCTAATGTTTCATTACTAATGATTTCATTAATAGTTTTGAAGAAAAATTATTTTATTTCTTTCCAGAAGAATTTATAAAAGATGTCGGTCAAGCCGTCCTGACCAGGAGCTTTGTCCATTTTCAGTTTGTTTAAGGCTTGATCTCAGTCATGCAGTCATATATCAGAATCACACATTTCTCTGAATACAGAATCCATTTTTGGAATATAAGTTTCATCAAAAAAGGAATCAGTAATTAAATATTTAGATGAGTATAAATTTGAATAAAGTTTATGTATTTCTTCTGCTATAGTCTTATGATTTGTGCATTCTTCCCCATTTACAGTTAATGTATTAATAGATTTCTTCTCTTGCCTCCGTTTCTCCAGATTGTAGAAATATGAAGCACTTTTTTCACCTTCTTCCATTTTGCATAGAAGAAAAAAAAATGCAAACTTGCACTAAAAAAATCTG